GGAAAAGAGTTATATACAAATGAGTAGGCGAAACTTGTGCATTTCCGTGCATTTGTTTGGTGTGTGTATTTGTTTCCAGAAAAGAAACGAGAGTTGTGAAACATATCTTATCTGCTGCAACAAACATGCAAACCTCGTTATCGAAACATCATCTGTGGTTTCTGAGAGATGTTTGACTTCACCTCTTCATCTGGCAGAAATGCAAAACAAACCACTGCTATAAAAACACTTGATGTAAGAAACTAAAGGAATGACTCACCTAAAAGGAAACCTCTGTCGTTATTTACTCACTCACTCACGTTGCTTAAACCTGTATGAATTTCTTTCTTTCTAATAAAACAAAGAACACAAGCAATGGGAAATTTAGCAGAATGATCATACAGCTCTTTTTACAACGAGTTTGCTCTACTTAAAAGGGTCATAGGATGCTACATGCACTATTACAAGTTGTTTGAACTGAAATGTGTGTTGGCAGTGTGTGTACACAACCACCCTATAATGATGAAGATCCACCCAGTGTTTTTTTTTGGTTGTTGGATGTAATAATGAACATAGCAGTCGTCATTTACTACCGACATCTGAGCCGCTGAAGACGCAGTGGATTACATTGTTTCTGAAGTGAATGCGCCCCCGATCTACATAAATGCATCTATGTTCGAGCGAATCATTCATGATCCTGCCTCATCTACAGAAGAAGTGGTGTTGTTGGATGTAATAATGAACAGCAGTCGTTGTTTACTCCCGACATCTGAGCCGCTGAAGACGCAGTGGATTACATTGTTTCTGAAGGGAATGCTCCCCCGATCTACATAAATGTGTCTATGTTCGCGCGAATCATTCGTGATCCAGCCATCAGAAGACCATCTACAGAAGAAATTAGTATAATATTTTGTAATGAATCTTTGCAAATCGCCTTTCCTAATAATGTGCTAATTAGCAAGTTTCACGATGAATGCGGCTAAAGTAAACAGTCTCTCTGAGAGCAGCTCGGAAGAGAGGGGCGGGGTCAGCAGAGCTCATTAACATTTAAAGGAAAATGCTACAAAAACGGCTTGATCTGAAAAGAGCTGTTTTTTGACAGGGTAAAAAAGTGTTTTATACACGGCCATTGAGAAATTTTAACCAAACTATGTTACAGACTTTTCATTA